AAAAAATAAAATAAAAAATGAAACTGAACAATTGGCAGTAGAAGTTCTGCGATGGCTCCAAAACACTCGTCCCTCTCGCTGTTGGTTGAATGATGTCGTGAAGTTGATTAAAATTGGTTGAATCGTTGAATTGTTGAATTGTTGCATCGTTGAATCGATGATTTGGATGTAATTTAAAATACAAAATAAAATTAATTGTGTTTCATATCATTCGAAACATTTTTCATGAATGAATACCCCGAATGAAAGACAACTATGATTTAAAAAATGAATGAGAAGTAATAATTAAGATTACAATAATAATACTAACCGTTGATTTATCCAGACGAAGCCCCAGATTCGTTGATAAAGATGATCCAGAAAAAACGAAGATATTTTAATTCACACTTTCGACCATGACAATATTTTAATCGAGACGCAAATCCTCTTCTACCGAATTGGCCGAAAGTGTGTTAATGATTCTAATCGCGTACCGAGCAAATTGTTTTTTTAACAAGAATATTATAACAAATTCTTGCATTGATTTTAAATTACGATTGAATTATTTTGAAAGCAATCTCTGCGATTGCATACAAAAAATGCAACATTTTTCGAAACAAACACTGACTCTAAGATTGCATTGCACGCAATCGCAACTGAAGCTCTGAAAATCAAAGTTTAGTTAAAGCAAGTCGTAGCGTACTTCTGTTTATATTTATATTATGTTACTAATAAAAAATATATTAATAGTTGTATAATTCAATTATTTAAACTACGTATTCCAAAAATTCTGAAATCGTGTTATTATTTTTATATGCTTTAATTATTAATAAAAAAATATTCAATAAATGTAACCACAAACTTGTAAGCTACATAAAAAAAATTAAAATAAAATACAAACGAACAAATATCGCGTTGCATTCTATCTTTCAAAAAATACATTTAATCGCGATAGGGTTATTTTTACAGAAGTATACTAATTGCGTTAATACCTATAGGAAAAAATAGATATAACATTAGTGTAAAACTAAACACAAGGTGCAATATTTATAAATAATCATTTGTACAATTAATTAAAATCGATTGAACATGTCTTGAATTATTTATATGAATTTAATACAATAAGAAATAAAATGAATTTAAATTAATCAAATTTAATCAACAATTGCAACGCGTAATTAAAAAATTAATTCAATAAATCATTTTTTCATTTGCATTAGAATTAATAAATAAAACGTGAAGTTAAAATTTTCTAATGCATCGAACGTCAGCCATTGGCCCGACAGTGCTTACGTTGCACCATACAAATTCTATGGACACCGTAAGCAATATCGGTTACCGGATTTCACCACGGGGAGGTTGCTGCGTCGGAGATCCATTATAAAATTAAAGAAAAGAAATAAAGAAATATACTTGCACGTATGTACGGAGTTGTATATACCACCATTGATTAGTTTAATTTCCATGGAACGATGGTGAACGTCTTTCTGAAACCATAAAAAGAATGAGAGATTATGATAGAAATCTTTGTGAAACCATCGATATGAATATAAGATCATATAATTCTAATTACAGATCTTCTTACCTAATGTCAATGCATTCACACCATCGATTATGACTGCATCAATCTGTAAATCAAATGAGATTTGATTAGATTATAAGATTTGATATTAAAATATTAATTAATTAGGCAGTTAGTACTACTTACGCGGAGCGGAACTAGTTGAGACGCCGTCCGAAAACAAAGTGATGGATGACGTAGTCGAGTCACCTCTCCCCTCCTATTTACCTTATAAGGCAGTGCCTAAATGTTTTTCTCTATATGCGTAAAAACAAAAAATAAATAAATACTCTTGTTATAAAATAAATTCCTAAAAATACAAAACATAGAATGATAATGTTTTGAATGGTACTTTTTTACTAATCTATTGTTTTGTGTTTCTATATATATATATAAAGATAGATTTTTATTTATTTTTTATTATATTATATAGATGATTAATAAGTATATATATGTATGTGTTTGCATTTATATTGGTTCTTCGATTAAAATAATTGTAGAAATAATTATCTAGGGTGATCTTGATGTTTTGATAAGTCTATTTAATATGTATATATAGAGTGGCTAGAAAATTTCAATAATTAATAAATATATTTATGTGTATATTTCGATTATTCAATATTAAAATTATTAAAAAATAATTGTTGAATGTGTATCTTATATATATAAATTTTTAATAAGCCTAATTACAATACGTATTAATTGTAGAAAAAATATACATGGGTGGGTTGAAAAGTTCTGAGCCTAATAAAAGACGATAAGTTGAAAAGTTTTGAGCCTCACACAAGGAAAGTTAAATTAAAATGTGAATTTTAATAAATAAAAGTCATTTTGTAAACTTTAAATTCTTACATTATCTTTTTTCTGTTCTCTATACGTGAACAATTTAATTCTGTTATAAAAATTCAATTTGAACAGTTATTTTATATTTGATTAATAAACATATTTTGAGGAAACATTTATTTTTTTAATGGATACTTTTAAAGTAAAATATACAAACAAACAATTTTTCACTTACATAGAATTATTTAAGGATTTGAAAATGGATTAAATATAGGTGAGTAGATAAGTCGTGATATTGAAGCAATTATTTTATTGTACTCTTACGTACTCTTACCTATGTTATACTAAACGGTATATATAAGTACTTTAACTTTTTAAAGCGGAATAACTGTTACTGTTCAGCCAGAACTTTGTTCTTATTTTTGAAAAAGTAAAAATGTTCTATTTATGTATACATACATGGAGTGAAAGGTTTAGCGGATTTATAATAGTTTCCTTAGAACATATATGTTAAAAGTCAAAAAATAATTGTTACATCGGAACCAATTGATTTGATATTTGAAAATAATTATCGATGAAGCCATAAACAGGTAAAAATAATTCATTGAAATATATTAATTTGATATACATAAATATAAAATGAAACTTACTAATTATTAACTAATCCTGCTAATCTTTTTATTGACCACATATCGGACTTAATATCAGTGTCAAGTACCATTAGAAAAATTATATAAGACAGAGAGATATTTTTATTTATTTATCATTAGTTTTATGCATTTCGTCCATTCTTGTCTTATGACGTTCTATGGCCTCTTGATGACGACGAATCTGTTCCTCGTGGAAAGCTATTTCATCGGTGAGACCTTCCTTCAATTTTCTTAATTGTTCTTTTTGCTAAAATAAGAAAATGGTAATAAAGATATATTTGTAAAGACGTATCGAATAAAATAATGCACATAGATTATAATTTAATACACTGATTGTTTAAATAATTAATCAGGGAATTAAAATCCTATCGTTGACAAACCTGATTATAAAAGTATTGATTTTCATGAGCCGCTTCCATTTGCGCAAAAGCTCCACCAGCATCACGGATAGCACCAGCGCTGCCCTTGCTTCCACGAGAACCGCTATCATTAGACATTTTCATTCGACTGGAATCAAATATAGTATTTAATATAACATCCTGTTTAATAATCTTGATATTGGATCTAATAATTCTATAGAATGCGTATTAACTAATTACCACATTTTCTAACCTGACCGTATTGAAAAATCAATAAACAATTTAGTATGCACAACTAAGATGAAATAATTATAATTAAATATTTGAGAGACAGAGGGAATATCAAAATTGTTACCACAATGTTAAAAATAGATTGACAATCTTTAATTAGATTTAAAGATAGAAATTTAAATTTATAATTATTGTTAATTGGAAATGTATAAAATGTTGTAAAAACATTTGATAATAAAAAGTACTTACAATATAACCAAAATACATTTAATTTAGTATTGAAATTTTCTTTAAATGCATTATATAATAGTTCATTGATAATGAGATCGAGTTATCCCGTATATTTCGATAAATTAAAATATTATAATTAAAATTGAAAAAATAATTTTATAAAAATACAATTATTTTGATATCTATACAAAGAAAGATATAACATATCTAGTAAAAACAACATTTATAAAAATAGAAAATTAAAATTGTAAAATAAATTGTCACGAATTATTCGATAGAATATTAGTAATTATTATGGAAATAATTGTTTAGTACATACCTGAGTGCAGAAATATTCTGCATAAGTCTAGGATTAATTCTCTGCATATTTGACAACTTTTTAAAACTGTAAACTGAATATTAACAATTTATTGACGCGTAATTGAATATTTCGGCACTCTCTCGTTCTTGCTTTAATATTGCCTACAACAATACAAGTTTATTGAAACGAAACCATACGAGAAAAATTCCGGAGACTCTCTCGTGATTAGTTCGTAAAGTGGCCGCAGTGGCGCTACGTACGAATATTTATTCGCGCGTTAATTCAAAGTTTCAATTTTAAAAATAAGCTAATAGTCCGTATATCTTATTTATATCTTAAAGTACTAAATGAAGGAATGAATGAACAAATAAATAAATAAATGAATGAATGAATGAATAAATAAATAAATAAATAAATGAATGAAAGAATGATGACAAGAAACAAAAATGAAAGAATTAATCGATAAACGAAATTTTTGTAATGTACTTCGCGGAAATTGTCGCAACGCTGGTATTTTTTAATATTATTATAAACAATTTATTCGATATATTGCTGAAGCCATATTTTATCGTGTATTCGAAAATAATAATATTTCGTTAGACACTTTCGAATTTACGAATGTGTTTAGAATATATCCATTTTTCTAGTGGTCAGACCGCTTAATATAATATAAATCTTTCAATCTAAAAAACTATTAATATATTAATAAATATATTCTACTGTACCGAATCACAATTAATAATTAATTATACCAATATTCTTATAAATTTCTTGTAAAAATTTGTCTTTCTTTTTTTTATAATAATCAATATAAAAAATCAATGATGTAACAATGTGAAAAATATCATGAAAATGTGTATGAATTATGTTAAACGATTTATCTACGAATCACACATATTCATTCTAACTATCTATCTATTTATCTATCTATCCATTTATCTTAGTTTCATTACTTTTCACGTATTTGTAGAGTTGCAAGCTCGTTACACAACCACTCTCTGACAGGTAGGCATATAAGTCTCTCCTTCGTCTCTTTTCTTGCAATACCACAGTTACCTGGTGATTGTGTTGGTGTCATATGCGGTCTTGAAGAACGCATTCGACTTTAGTTACCCTTATAACACGTTCTTCCTGTCTTCAAAGAAACTCATCTTGAATATCATCTTCATCGTTTCGAACTTCTTCTTTTTTCTGTCTTTCATTTTTTGATCATATTTATTTGATTTTATTAAGTCTGATTCTTTCTTTTTCTTTTTTTTTTTTTTATAAAACCAAGTTGAAAGGGAAAAATTTGACAAGAATATCTTACGGTTCGTACAACAATTACGGTATTAAAGTAAGTCAACAATTGTTTTTTTTTTTTAATCACTATTAAACAATATCGAAAATTACGACATCAGTCATGGGAATGCCCATTACTTCTATCTAAGTTAATTTTTCTTATATAAACTATATCTAATTAGAATAATTACGGTGATCGTGTGTGTGGCATTGATAATTATCATGTCGAGAACCAGTACTTTATATAACTTCGTTAAATAAAATTCTGTTTATGAGATTGTCTTACTCGAGAAAATCCATAAACCCTTAAGAATTCTAATCGATTATATATCCTATGTGTTTTAATAATTATTATACTGTTCAACGGTTCGTATTATTCGTTATTTAATCATATTTTATTTTTGTTTATACGTTAGACAAAGTAATTTTAATGCGACAATAAATCGAAATTAATTTATTTGGACGATTCGCTTTTGTTAATTCAAAATCTTGTATAATATTTTTACGTTAATTGTCTGCAGATGCAAAATAAAGTCAAATATTCGGCCTTGCCACAACATCCTGACAAGAATTTCAGTTTGATGTGGAAGAATGTATCTTTTACGGTTAAAAAGAAAAAAAATGGGAATTACTTGAAGAGTTTTCTCGGATTACAAAGATTCGAATATGTCCATCTTGTTAATGGAGGTACTTATTAAGAATTTTAATTAATAATAGTAATTATAATAATAACAATATAATATTCTTCTTATTATTATTCATATATATATATATATATATATATATTGATGTAAATTTGATTCACATTTATTTGTTAGTAAATGGTATAGTTAATTCTGGAACATTGATGGCTATAATGGGCCCGAGGTAAGACCAGCAATCTTTAGGAATTTACTTGATGTGTTTAACAAAAAAAAAGGAAGAAAATAAATTGTATTTTGTAGCGGAGCTGGCAAGACAACTCTCCTTGCGATGATAAGCAGACGTATAAAAGGTATGATTACCTATTCGTATAATTTATTCTTGGAATATCTGATAAAAAAAATTAAATAATTTGCTTTATTATCATCAGGTGAAATAGATGGTGAAATTTTATTGAACGGTAAATTGATTAACAAGCAAGAAATGTTAATGATATCTGGATTTGTACCGCAACAGGATCTTGCTGTTGAATCATTGACCGTTGAGGAACACATGGAATTTATGGTCCGTTTGTTAAATTGTTTGATTAATGCGTGAAATTTATAATAACGGAATGATTTGACTTTTTGTTTCTCAAATTAGGCATGCATGAGAATGGATCGTAGATATCACATGAGTTTAAGAAAATTAAAAATATCTGCACTTTTAACAGAATTGTTATTGGTCAATTGTGCTCATTCAAAATTGTCCACATTGTCCGGTGGTGAAAGGAAAAGGGTATCCTTGGCAGTACAAGTAAGAAAAAGGGCTAATATAAAAAAAAAAAAAAAAAAAAAAAAAAAAAAAAATATATATATAAAAATTAAAATCAAATTGTAAAATATTTGAACAAATTTCTTTGTCGCAGTTATTAACAGAACCCAGCATTTTATTTTGCGACGAACCTACGACAGGTGTTGACAGTTACGCAGCCATGACAATTGTTAAAACTCTTCGTAACGTTGCTAAAAGGGGTAGAATAGTAATTTGTTCGATACATCAGCCAGCTTCAGGTTTACTCGACATTTTTCATGAACTTTTATTACTTTCTGCTGGTCGTGTTGCATTTCAAGGTTCGATCATTGACGCCACTAACTTTTTCGACAGGTAGGTACGTCTTGAAAACTCCTTATTTTATATTTGTTCTTATATCATTCGATTGATTTTTTCTAGTTTGGATCTACATTGTCCACCAACTTACAATAATGCTGAGTTTTACGTGTCCCAATTATCCGTTTCGCATGATTACGAGAATGAGAGTTCTAACAAGGTAATTGATATTTATGATATATATATAAAAACATAATGTATACAAAAATAAATAACAATAAAAGAACAAGAATAAAAAAATAAAAAAAACAAGAATGATGAAAAATTTGTTATCCGACAGATGAAATGGATCTGCGATCAATATGAGAAATCGGTTTACGGGAAAAAAATTGCATCATTGATAAAAGATTATCGTAGAGACGTTAACGAGGATGAAGAATTGCCATTAATATTTGATAACAATGTGTTGATTAAAAATAATTTTAAAAAAGTCAGATCGTTCACTCAAATCGAATGGCTAGTTTGGAGAATTTACATCGATTACAAGAGAAATTTTTCTTCCATATTTTTAAGATTTATATCCTATTTGGTAAGTAACAATGATGTCACACACACACACACACACACACACATACGCACGTTAATTATAATATAATTTATTTATTCGAAAAAGTATATAGGTGTTCTAATATCTTTCCCGTACATAAACGTAACACAAAAAGTTGATCAAGGTAGCATACAAAATATGCAAGGTCTGATGTACCTGATCGTAGTGGAAACAGCATTTACTTTTAATTACGCCAGTTTTTATACATTCCCAAGAGAATTGCCATTGCTCTTACGTGATATTGCTGCGAGTTTATACGACCCAGGACCGTATTATATCAGCAAAGTTGTAACTTTGGTAATTCATTAAAAAACAATAATTTATATCACATTGTAGTACAGTGATTCCCAAAGTTTTTCCATTATCGGTGCCCTTATTGATTTCAGACTTTTTGTCAAAGAGTCCTATATCAAAATTGAACAATTTCACTATGTGAAAGAAAAAGTTAAAAGTTTTCTTTTTTTTTTATCGAACGATTGATTGAAAATAATTAATATAAATGAAACGCAAAAATTTTGGGGATTACTGGTCGTACTCGAATGAACGAAATTCGTCATTAATAATTATAAATTGTTTAGATTCCAGGTATCATAATTCAACCATTTTTATACAGTGGTTTGGTTTATCTTATCACTGGACTAAGAGGTGGATTCATTGGTTTCATTTATTTCGTCGTACCAATCATGTCCTCTGCATTTGCTGGCTCTGCTCTTGGTATTATAATCATTATTTATATTTATTATTAATGAGAATTAATTTATTTTTTTTTTTTTTCATTTATATATAAAAACAGGATTTTTGATGTCAGCGTCATTCGATTCGATCGATACAGCTTCTTTGATATCTGTACCAATTGATTTCATGAGTCTAATGTTTTCTGGCATCTTTTTACATCTTGGGTAAGTAATTTTTTATTATTGTTCTCATATTAAAATCATGGTAAAGGAAGAAAAAGTTAATTGAATTTTTTAAATATCATGTTTTCTGTTTCTTTTTTGTTTTTTTTTCCTAGACATTTGTTACCGTCAATATCATGGATAAGATATTTATCGATATTTTATTACGGTTTGGAAGCCATTTCTTTGAAACAATGGATACAATTTGATCACATAGGTAAATTAATTAGATTAGGTTTATAAGACTTTTAAAATATATATATATATATATCTTTTTATAATTTGTTTAAGAAATTTTATTTTTATTTCTTTTTTGTTGTTGTTGTTGAAGATTGTTTACCAGATCCAGAAGCACCTTGCATGTCAAACGGTTTAGAAGTTCTCGATAAGTATGGTTACATACTTGATCATTATTACGTTGATTTATTTGGCCTTTTAATGATATTCCTCGTCTGTCATTCTATCAGTTTCTTGGTACTTCGTTATAGAAGTCAAAAAGAACCTGTCTATTAAAAATAAATACAATTGTTTCATCTCTTCTCCTCGTTAATTATTTATAATATTAAATAATTATATAACGATGGAAGAGAGATAATAAAAGGAAGGTAAAACTTTTGATCATTGGATTTATATATCAATTATGGCAACAAATTAGGCTAATACTAGTTATGTACGTATATAACTAATATGTATAATTATTTTTTTTTTTACATATATATATAATATACTTAGAATGAAAAGTCTTACTGTCCTGTTTTTTTTAATTCCAAGGTATCCGGCAATGGACATGAATATTGTTAAACATATCATTCCACATAAATCTAAGGTAAAATTGGATTCATCATATCCATATTCGAATAAAACTTCCGTACCATTTATTAAACACGGTAATCTTTCCTTTACTTCACATTCTAAAACATCACGTGTTTTGTAATCCCATTTTCATTGTAAAACATTTAACAATTACACATTTCTTACCGATTCTATCAATTTTTGACCAATACAATATCGAAAGACATTCGTTTATGTAATAAAATATTGACGAATATTTCAAGTATCCTAAATACGTTGGTAAACTTCTATAAAAATTCATTTCAATTGTATCGAATTAAAAAATGAAATTCGTTAATTTTATGTATAAATACGATCTCGATTGTTTAATAAAACAAATCTTACCTCAAATTATAAAACATACCAGCAGTTAATAGAAATAATATATCAATTGGTACCATAATTATTGTCGTTAAATCAACATTATTTGTCCAACTGGACATCATCATACCATAAGCGGTACCACAAATTGAACTTAACGTAGTTGAAAGACAATAAAATGGTATGTCCTTCCAATTAATATTACTGTTCAAAGTCAAAAGTATCGTCAATGTAAAAATGAGTGATTTAATCATAGATTTTGGTATCTGAAAAAATTATTTATATATATATATACATAGATGGTTTATAAGAAAAAAGCAAAAGTTGTACACCTGTATATATATGTAATCTTGATTTAAAACAAAAAAATAAATAAACAAATTATTATAAATAATTAATAAAAATAAAAATAAGCGTAATGTTACCAATCCGATAAAAGTAGCAACGTAATAAACACCTGGACCATACATCGAAGTTTCACGACAATAATTAATCATGTCCGATGGTAATTCGTATATTGTTGAATAAGTTACTGTAAAAATGATTTCTGAAGTCATCATGTATATAATTCCTCTAATATTTTGCATTCCTTTCTGCGTATTTGGATTGTTACCGATAAAAAATATATTCACGATTGTCATAGACATCTACGTTAAAAAAACAAAAGATATAATTAAAAAAAATAAACGAATGTTTAAATTTTATATTATCAAAAATGTTAATTCCATTTTCTATATACCAAAAAAGATATCCATGATAAATTGTCGGAAAAAAATGTTCTACGTTTTTTCTTATAAATCCTCCAAATTAACCAAACGAATTGTTTCAATAATCCTGGCTTACTGTAAAATGAAAAAAAAAAAAAAAGAAGAAAAAATATAAAAAGAAAAGAATAAATCTTTTGCTAACGTATTATATTTTGTTTTTTTAAAGATCGATGCGTTTTTTCATTACTTGCATAAATTTGTTTGTACTTCTTTAAGATTTTCATCGGTGTTAGGTAATTCGTAATAAGGTGATCGTAAAAATGCTTTCGATAAATTTAAAGATCTTTCCTCGTTCGACGTAATTGAATCATGTTGAGATAAAATACTGATGTGGTATTCTGCTTGATCTATGTGAATTGGGCATACGAATCCTAGGCTAATAAAAATAATATATACGATCGTAAATTTTGTATATACAAAAATTAATAATTATCAAAAGAATAGTAAATATAACATATTTCGTGTAATTAATATTACATTGGTTTGTTCGAAAAAGTAATCTCGTTTTTCGTTCATTGATGATTACTTTGTCGAAAAATCAAAACGATATTACTGAAAAATTATATTTAAAAAATATAAATGAATACCTTTCGAAAAACGGTTTGACGTTATCTATATTTCCGGAAAAAATGTTTCTACCATCAGCTAATAAAACGATATGCGTGAACAAATTATACATCTCCATTCCTGGTTGATGAATAGTACAAATTACCAAAGTATCTTTCATTGAGATTAATTTTAACGTTTGTAGAACGTTCAATGCTGTCATACTATCAAGATCTATGTGCATGTGAATGTGTGTGTGTATGTGTTAACGAATTATTAATTATTATTAATAATATTGTTATATCTCGAATATATATTATATTTGTAAAATATAATTTTGGTTTATATAGAAATTACCTGTTGTTGGTTCGTCTAAAAAAATAATTTTAGGTCTTGTTACTAATTCGGATATTAAAAATAATCGTTTTCTTTCGCCAGCCGACAATTTTGCGATTAAATTATTTTTCTGTTCGTACAATCCGAATTCGTTTAAAAGTTTATCGGTTTTATCATTGAATTCGCGATAACTTTTGTTTTTATCCATTTTTAATGCACTCTATTTTAAAAAAAAAAAAGAAAAGTAAAATAAAATAAAATTAATTTTTAAAAATTCGAAAATAAATCTATTTATTTAATTAAAAAGAAAAGTTTAATCAAACGTATATGAATTTGTACCACAAACAAGAGATGTTCCCTAGGGGTAAGATCAACAAATATCGGATTAAATTGACTCATGTAACTTGAAATTTGTGACATCATAGTATTAGAAACATCTGATCCATTAATTTTAATACTACCACTGGTCGATTGAATTTTTTTTGCAATCGTACTTAACAAAGTAGTCTTTCCAGCTCCGCTATAATAAACACATAATCGTTTCAAATATAAATATTATTATTTAAACATATATCCAATCCCTTACATACCTTGGTCCCATTATAGCAATCATGTTATTACTTTCTCCATAGCCGGATACTACAATTAATTTAATTATTAAATGAGCCAAACAATGTGTTAATTAACGTTTTTAATTCAAAAAATTAACAGTAACAAAAAATTTATAACTACCTTGCTTTAATATTCCTAATCTCTTAATACGCGATCTTTTTCTAATATCAGACCAAATAGATCGAATAAATGTTTCTTTTCGATCGTTAATACTAACAGTAACATTTTCCCAAGACAACCTAATCTTTTCTCGATTATCGACAAACAATTCCATGTTAAAATTAAATTTAACAATCACATGAACGTCTAAATTAAACTGACGATTAGAATCTTCACAACGACGAGAGAATCTGTGATCGTAATGAATTTTAAAACGTCTCATTCTTATCATTGTTATCAGTTTTTAAGCAAATTTCTGTCGACATTATAAATGTTATCTTTACGACGAGTAGATTAAAATTTCATAATTTGTTATAATTTTTTAATGAAATGAGTGAAATGAACGAAAACAACAACACCCACGCTTTTCATTGCTTTTTCTTTTTTTTATATTTTAATAATTATCTCGTTTTTTTTAGTCGCAACTTAAATTCATTTATATATATATATATATATATATATGTGTGTGTATGTGTCTATACTTGGATTTAATTTCCTTCAAAAAGAAAGGAAAATATGTTAGATATAATTCAATTAAATATTATTCTATATATTATACCCGACTTATTTGATGTTTATATATAAAAAGAAGATGATATAATATTTTTAACGAATAAAATTACACATTCATGTCTTCACATGCACACTAACGCGCGTACACATACTTTTATTTATAATATTTATGCATTAAATATATATATATATATATATCATAGATCAGTAATTATTATTATGCAATATTGACGTTAAATGCATGCAACATAGTTGTTTTTTTTATTTTTTTTATTGATGTCTAATGACTAATATTTTCTCATGAAATTGTATGTATATGTATATTATGCATGTATTGTATATATATATATATATTTTTTTTTCTTTCTTAATAACTTGCTTGCTTGTTCGTTAAGTATAAAAGTGCAAACGATGTATGAGGAAAGTTAGTCGTTAGATTTAGTAAAAAGTGTCGTAACGTGTAAAATACGCATTATTTACAATATTATAGTATAATAATAATAATAATAATAATAATAATAATAATAACAATAATATAACATTATTTAATATTAGTATATCTATGAATTTATTATATAATGCAGAATAAAGATAAAAGGTTAATCTACTTTGTTTAAAATAATAACAAAAATTTCATAAAAAGAAATACAATTTAAAAAAGTTTTACTAATAGGATTAAACTTGAAAATGTATTTACTTTTTTTTGTGTATTGTTTAATTAATTAATTATTTCATTCGATTGCATAATTGATTGATTGATTAATTAATTAATTAAGTAATTAATTAATTAATGATATTGCAGCACACAGCCCAGGACGAAGCGCATTTCTTCGTTTGTATGTTACAACAGTCAACATGATATTGTAACTGTTATAAGCGATTTGAAAAGGCACTATTAATTAGAATTAGAATTAGAATTTGTCGTAGAAAAACGCTAGATGCCAATATGTAAATATTCGAATGAAATTGAATTAAAACAATGATGAATAAATTGCTCTGCGAATTTCTTACTTTTTTTGTTTGTTTGTTTGTGTGTTTGTGCATCATTAAATGACACTTCGCCGTTAGGGCACTTGGTGTTTGACAATTATTGAAAAAGAATATTTTTTGTATTGTTTCTTTTTTTCTTTTTTCTTAATGCTAAAAACATCATCATGATCATCATCATCATCATCATCATCATCGTCGTCGTCGTCGTCGTCGTCGTCGTTGTTGTTGTTAGTTGTTATTATTCTTAATCTTTATAATTATCGGTACATTATTGCATTCTTAACGTTATCTAATTCGAGAAAAATGATTAATCTTAAGCACAATAATAATGATAATAATAACTAAGCTGTCTGTCGGAAGCTACTCTAGATTTAATTCGTTTATAATTCT